CTGTTTGCTGGCTCACCGTTTTGTTTGTGTGTGTGTTGATGTCATCGGCTGTGAGGATGACAGGCAGGTCACAGTTGCCGCACTGCCCCGCCACCTCAATCACCTCGGCCATCTCGCCCCATGGCCCCTCCTCCACCACACACGCAGCCGCCAGCAGATCATGTGTGCCGAACTGGTCGTCGTCGAACCGCAGCAGCTGCACTTGCTGCCGATTCACCGCCCGCCGCAGCCCCGCCTGTGAGCCCAGCGAGTGGCGGAGCCGATCTCTCAGCTGGGCCGCTCCGTGGAGCTCGCTGATCCACGTGCAGGTGGCCCTCAGCCGCAGGATGTCCTTGATGCTGCTGAAGAGGTAGAAGGTGCGGCGGCCGACAAAGATATACGAGAAGGGGTGCTGCTGCTGATGCTGCTGCTGCTGCTGCTGATGCTGCTGCTGCTGCTGCTGCTGCTCTGGTTGCTGCATCTGGGTAGCTATGATGTGCTCGACGACAGCCTGCAGAGAGCGACAGAGCCGACAGAGGACCGTGTGCATCAAGCATCCTGCTCATTCATCTGTGCGGCTCACCTCGTTCGATGATCAGAATGACAGATCACCATGCAAAGAAGTGACTACCGCACCACCACCACTGGCAGATGAGGAGGCCGCCATCACTCCTCAACGCCACGCCTGCAGCGATGGGCAATGGCGATGGACCGACAGACACAGAAAGAAAGAGAGAGATGCCAACAGACAAGGACGGCGAACGAATTGAGGCCAATGGATCAGTGAGCGCCTCAGTGAGTCAGTCAGTGAGTGGTCGGCCTCCCTCACCTCTGTTTGGCTGTCAGCTCAATGGCCCGCCATCTCACCGCAGCAGTCGACAGGGATGACTGACTAGAGTGATTCCTCTCGCCCTCTTGTCGGCCGAGTGCGTCACTCTCGCAAACGCACAGCTATCTGTTACGGACCAACCGAATAAGCTAAGCTGTGGTTGTCCATCTGCGGGTCGTATTCACCATTCCTCAACACTATCCGACAAGGAACAGACGCCTCGCATGCACCCTCCAGGGCTATAGGGTATAAACCCTTTGACCCTTCGAACCCTGACTTTGGTTCATCATTCATTGTTTTGGCCTCCTGCGCCAGAGATGTCTTCGCTCACCATGATGCGCAGATTCGACGTGTGGCGAGCGGCATCTGCACACGGAGATTGAGGACAGTTTGCTCGGCTTCGATTCGGCGAGCCTTGTGTGGCCTTCCCGGCCTCTTTGAGGACAGCAGAGGCCTTCGCAGAGGCGCCCTGATGGCTGGGATCCATCGGTGAGGCGCCTGGGGCGATGTCGGAGGGCATCGCGGAGGGGCCGGGCGGACCGGTGAGGCCAACAGGACGACAAGAGGGCGGGAGTGACAGATCTGCACGTCGGTGTGATGCTGTTTGCTTGTCTGGTCAGGACGGCAGCATGCATTGGCCGCAGCGGAGAGGTGCGCCCATCGGACGACAAACGACCCACAGACCATTACTGACGTGTCCCTGTGTGTGTGTCGTAGTGCAGCCGTGTGGGTGAACCAGTTAGTTCGGAGGGCGTCACGGATTGGCTGCGGCGACACGACGATCATGCGGGCGGTGCGGCTGGTCAGTGTCGCTGATGTGCCCAATGAGCCGACACACACATGGGTACTTAGACGGGACACAAACAGGCAGGCACACCAACCGACACACCGCACACCTGTTTGGCTGTCTGTGTGTGCAGCTGGTGGTTCGTTGGATGGCTGATAGATCTGAGTGTGGGCTGCAGTGTCTGGAGAGGCTCTTCACTGCCGCCGGCATGGACACACACGGCCGCCTTCTTATTCGCCAAATACCTCATGGTCAGTCGGTCGGCCACTCACACCCAGACACCTCCAGCCATGGAATGGCTTACCCCTGCCTGTCTGTGCCCTTTGTGTGTGTTTGTTCACAGTTTTTGTCGATGTGCGACGTCGATTTGGCCGCGTGCGATGTCGGCCTGCTGGCCGCCACGGCCGTCTACATCACACGCAAGACCAACCAGGACCAAACAACGGGCCGCATATGGGTCAGCCGAAGGAGCACCACGTGTCATGATGTGTGTGTGTGTGATGGCCTGGGTGGGTCAATGTCCGTCAGAGTGCGGCCCTTGTGGCTGAGAGTTCGGTCAGCGAGGCGGCGTTGGAGTCCAGCGTAGTGCCCCTGAGGATGCAGCGGCTCATGTGGGGCGACACACAGACCGCCAAAGGGGTGAGGGACACACCAGCAGGCAATGCGCGTGTCATTCTGTGTGTTTTATGTGTGTAATTGTGTGTGCAGATAGTGACGGATGCAGTGGATGAGATGTTCGCCTCGCCCAGACATCACGGCGTCGCATCGATACCCAACCGCCTGCACCAGCAGGTGGCGTGACACAACTGACTTGAAGAGTGAGTGTTGCGATGGTTCCCATTATGTAGGTGTCTGTTTGGTGGATCGTGCTGCTGTGGCTGTGGCGCATGTGCTGCCGTGTGTGGTCCTCATCCGAGCAAACCGCGGTTCACAACCACCCTCAGCAGCAGCAGCAGGTGGGTGTGACACAGCCGACCGACAGACGTGCACCAGATGTGTCTTGTGTGTTCTGCACTGTTACGTGTGTGTGCTGTCTGCAGGCGGGCAACAAGGAGCATCCCCTCGCCCATTTCTTCGCCGACGACCGGTGCTGCATCCCCGACATCAGCACCACACTCCAGCTGAGGGCCAAAGTGCGATGCTTCAGAGACGCATTCTCACCAACACAGCTGCGCAGCCGACTCGACCACTCGATGGCCCGTGGCGGCATCGACACTCAGCTGGTGCAGTTCGACCCATCACTGGGGATGCGTGAGCTGCTGGCGGCGGTGTGGATCGGCGAGGAGGGCGGGCGGTGGGATGAGACGCGGGAGGTGCTGCAGCTAGCCAGCCAGTGCCGCTACTGCACGCTGCCCGTCAACCTCACCGCAGATAACATCAACACACACGCCAGCAAGACGGTAAGGCACACACACACAGAGGGACAGAGAGGACTCATTCATTCTTCTCTCTCCGTCTGTCTGTCTGTCTGCTTGTGTGCTCGTGTGTGTAGGAGTATATGTGTCGGCTCCCCGTGTGTTGGCGCAGCTCAACATGGTCGGCCGCCACATCCACTTCAGTGACGGCAGGTGCCTGCAGCTGTTCCAACACAATGGTGAGGTGCGGGCCATCACTGACGAGCCCGACTTCCGGCTGGAGGTCGACCCGCCCCCCCCTGCCGGCCACCTGTATCGGCAGCACCGACAGCCACACGACCCGCCGATGCGTGAGAGCATATACTACTCGACCGACTGCGGATGGGTGTCGTTCGGTGGCCACTTCACCGATGCGTCAGTGTCGTCATTTGTCAAGTTCATGGTTCTCGACTACTTCAACGTGACTCACCAGATCAATGAGATATCGACAACACTCAACAGGTGACAACACATGGATGGCACTGAAGGCAAGGAGAGAGCGCCATTGACTGTGTGTGTGGTTGGTTCAGGTTTGTCGCTGGCGGCCGTCTGGATGGCCTGCTGATCGAGTCGCCCCACACACCGGTGGCCGGCTGCACCACGACACTCGGGCTGGACGGTGATGAGCGATTGCTGGTGCTGACCGACGGCAGCCACCCCTTCGTCGCGTGGATTGACATCAGGGGATTCGGAAACAACAACGGTAAGACTGACAGAGAGGGAGTGCTGCTGGTCAAATGTCGCATGTTCTCCTTCCCCTTGTGCGCAGTGCTCGTTAGTGTCGTGACCACTGAGTCGTCTGTGTGTGAGGGTGGTCCCTTCAAGCACCGCTTCCCGGTGACCACTCGGCTGGCTCGTGTGGCGTTGGGGCCAGGAGTGGCGCCATATGTCTTCGACGGTCAAGTAGACAACGACAGCGACGATGATGACGGTGCGGAGAGGGGAGGGGAGGGACACACACATTCGGTGGTGATGGATGGATGACATTTCTTCTCTGTGTTTGTGTGTGTGGTGTAGATTCCGACGGCCATGGCGACGATAGTGACGATATGGATGCCGACAGCGACGGGGGTACACAGAAAGGCACACACAATCAGTACGCACGGATGCCCCAATGTCAATCCACATCGGCAGAGGAGGAAAACGACGAGGATGAAGGCGATAACGGTGGTGACGAAAGCGGTGAGTGGACGGACAGACAGAGGGATGAGGGAGGGAGGGAGACACACTCGCGTGAATGGATGGATAATGGGCCTTCTTTATGTGTGTGGTGCAGACGGTGATGGTGGCGATGAGAGTGACGAGATGGATCTCGACAGCGAACACCGCAGCGGAGGTACAAAAGAAGGAGGGAAGGCACACACAGCACACCACAGATGCCCTTGTCTCGATCCGCATCACAGGCATGTCTGTGTGTGCGTGTGTGTGCGTGATTGTGTGTGTCTTGATGACAGGTGAGGACGCATCAGCCGAGGAGGAGAATGGCAGGCAGCGTTGACGACACACACACACCAATCATCATTATACATGCCGGTAAGTACGCCGATACCTACCCCTCACAGCCCGTGGTGTCTGTCATTGAATTGACCCTGACTGAACCATTTTTCTCTTTTCTTTGTGTGTGTGTGTGTGTGTGTGTGTGTATCCTGCCTGCCTGCAGTAGCAAGCTGTCTGGTCGCCTCGACGCATAGCTGTGCGTAGTGTAGATGAGAGGCTGATGGCCCACCGACTCCGCGATTCCCCGACTGCCTGCCGGTGTGCACCTCTCTCCCCCACTCTCGCGCCTTCTATCTATCTGTCTGCGTCGATACCCCTCCCTCCTGCTGGCTGCGTGTGACGTATGGTGTCTCTGACTGATTGATGCAGACGTGTGTGTGTTTGTTGATCTGTGGGTCCCGTGTGCCTGACTTGCCGTGTCTGTCTTGCCCCCTCTCTCCATCCACATGCCCATATCTGACGTCCTTGGCTGCCTGGCTGCCTGGGTTCGGGGGTGGTGCTGTGTCTCATCGATGCTGTCTTGACTGCTGCCATGGTGGGGTGTGAGTATTGACCATGGGTGTACTGTGCTTGTACAGCCTTTTCTCATGCACTGTGTCGTGACCGTCATTGAGAGACAAATCCGCCCTGCGAACCTCAATCATCTCATCGGCAGCCAGAGAGCATCCCCCACTCACTCACTCACTCACTCCATATACATACCACGTGTAATCGAGAGCCTGCTGGGTGTGACTTGCCTGTCCGTCCGTCCGTCTGTCTGTCTGTCTGTCGGGCGAGCGTGTGGTGAGCGGGGGACGAGAGGAAGCGCACGTATTGTGAAAATGTCATGACATGCAATGCCATGCTCGGTGCACCGTGTGCATGGGATTCGTTGATTCCGTGTGCGATGCATTTTGACTGTGTACAGAGGGATCGGGGCGGGGTAATTGCTTTACAGAAATGATAGGTTTATACGGTGATTGCTTTTAGCGATACTTACTGTACACGGTGATCACTCTGTACAGAACCGCATAAACCAATCACCTCACAAACAGACTCAAATTAGCCATTCGAGCCGACCACTCATGGCTCAAAATGACCGCAAGACGATGAAGCACCCCTCTGTGAAAGAGCGGACCGATGAAAAACTTGTGAATGAGCGGAGAAATACAGACATTTTGATTGTCTTCTTTGAGATGAACCATTCTCGACGAGAAGGCGAGTTTGCTTGGCGAGGTTGAGTCACGAACGATGTAAACGGAGAGCGGCTGGCGCGCGTGTACAATGGGCCGGTGCTCTCCGCTGTGTAATGTGTGTTAAGTGTCTGCTTCTGTTTGGCCTTGTTATTGCAGTGGGGACTCTGTTTGGCTGCTATGGAGTTTTGTTGCTGCGTGGCTTCGGTGCACGCGCGCTTGTCCGATACGTGTCCCTTCCTTGGCTGTGCTACGGGTCGCTACGGGTAGTATGCACATCGTGGGCTCACATGATGCTATCGATCAAAAAAAAGGCCTCTCTCGTCCTCTGAGGCGGTCCGTCTAGGCATGTGCATTGGGGACGCTGGGGGGCTCTCTCAGTCTGCGGGACGAGTTCACTTCATGCAGGTCCGACACGGCACAGATAGGCAGACACACTCCACCACACAGTCATTGAGAGAGAGGCACGGCAGGCGAGTGAGTCAGCCAGGCAGCCACACACAGTCACACATCGGCCGAACCGTCACATCAACATCGGCCAGCAGCGGAGGGCGCGAAGCGCCCACACCCACACCCACAGGCAGCCAGCCATGAGGATGGGCAGAGATCTATGCACACATACACAGACATACAGATGGAGGGAGGAAGGGCTACATATAGAAAGAGAGACGGACACAGAGAAGAGCGACGGACGGGCAAAAACGACCCCACAGACCGATTCACGCATGTCATGGAACTCAGCCATCCGGTCACATATCAGCAGCTGGTCTGTCTGTCGACAGAGTGAGGGGTAGCGTCGTCTTGCACACACACAGATCGGCGACAGAGATGACGACAGCCGGCATGTGAGAGATACCCTCCTGATGATACACGCACACCAGTAAGGACAGCATCCAGTCACATGACAAGGATGTGAATCGCTGCGTGCCCACCAGTTTTGACTGATCGATGGATCGATCAGTCAGTCGCCGCTCTCCGCCTCAGCTGCGCCACCGTCACCTGTCAAGTCCAAAGGACACACACACAAATGAAAGTCATGGAGGCCAATGTGAGCGGCTCTGTGTAGTGGTGCCTTCCAGCCTGTGTACCTCCGCTGCCCTCATCACCGCTGCCGTCATCCACATCGTCAATCTCATCACCATCACTGTCGGAATCTGCAGACACCACACACACAGAAGGCACGTCTTCCATCCATCCATCCATCCATGTGTCTGACTGTGCCCTTACCGCTATCGTCATGCTGCTGCTGCTGCTGTTGCTGTTGCACTTGTCCGTCGAATACGAATGGCCCCACCGCCCCCAACGCCACGCGAGCCAGCTGAGTGGTCACCGGGAAGCGGTGCTTGAAGGGACCACTCCCATACACAGCCGCCTCAGTGGTGTAGACAATCACACGCACTGCACACAAGGGGCAGAAGACCACGCGACGTATGACCAGCAGAGCTAGCCTCTCTGTCTCCCTTACCGTCGTTTCCTGTATCCGCGATGTCAATCCATGCGACGAAGGAGTGCCTGCTGTCGGTCAGCACCAGCAACCGCTCATCACCGTCCAGCCCGAGTGTCGTGGTGCAGCCGGCCACAGGTGTGTGGGGCGACTCGATCAGCAGGCCATCCAGACGGCCGCCACCGACATACCTGAACCAACCCCAGCCACACACACAGCCAAAGGTGCTCTCTCTTGCCTTCAGTGCCACTGATGCTGTCACCTGTTGAGGTCTATCCGTATCTCGTTGATCTGGTTAGTCTCTTCGAAGTGGATGAGGACCATGAACGTGGCCAACGACGAAACTGACGCATGGGTGAACACCAAGCCCTGAACGGCCGACACCCACCCGCCGTCGGGCGAGTAGATGATGCTCTCACGCACTGGTGGGTCCTGTGGCTGCCGGTGCTGCCGATACAGGTGGCCGGCGGCGAGGGGCGGGTCGACCTCTAGCCGGAAGTCGGGCTCGTCAGTGATGGCCCGCACCTCACCGATGCCGTGTTGGAACAGCTGCAGGGAGCTGTCGTCACCGAAGTGGACGTGGCGGCCGATCATCTTGAGCTGCGACAACACACGGGGAGCCGACATATACGCCTACACACACGATCACACACACAGACAGAGAGAATGAGGCCCTCTCCC